AAATATTTCACATATTTTCAGCTGGCTTGTGCACAGTGCAATTTTAATAGGCCTTTAATTAATTAGATTAGATCCATTAAAAATCAGACTTCTTAATTTATTCCACAACGGCTCGATGATTTTCTATTTAAACCTTTTGACTTAAAGCTCTATTTGTAAGCTGTGATTGGGTTGGAAACATATAGATCCTACTAAATGATATATTTGTGGCTGTATTATATATATTTAGCTGGGCGTGGCATATGAGTTAAATATATATATTATATTTCAAGTGTGTAGCTGAAATAGTGTCATAAATAATAGCACATACTATATATTATAAAAATTACAGAGTGACACGCCCATATGGGAGTTTTACGGAAATTATATTCATCAGGCGAAGTTGTACATGATATATACATACATCATATTTAAATTTATATCATTCTATTATAATTGACATTTAAACTAATATACCAATATACTCCTTTCACGAGGCACAGCAACTGTCTAGCCTCTGGCAACGTCTCAAACTCATCTCGTTGCTGTGCTCGTTTTGGCTTATCTTGAAAAGTTCTGGGGACTACCTGCAGTTACGGTTTTTTTTTGTTATTGTTGTGCTACTTGGGTTTGTTTTCAATATCTGGTATGTATTTAACGGTAAGACAGAACATAACTGACAGGTAGAAGTGTTTTATGACTTAGCCAATAAATCGTTACCTGATGGACTTATAATTGAATTATACATTTCAGCAGATTAGATTGGAACTGAGGTTTACAAACCAATGAAAAAGGAAACGAATTGTTTGCTGACTGTTTGGGTTTTTCAATTTGGAGGAAAAGAAAGTGCGAGATAAGAGTTTTTTTGACAGTCGCAATAAATTTGAATATTATAGTTAATGCAGAGACTTAGATCTGGTTTTAGTAGTAGAAAGTTCAGATTCAACTAGCTGCAAAATTTGTGAGGGTATTAGCTGTGCGTTGTTAACTTTAAGTTGTGCGATTTTGTGATTTGTGATTCCCATATATATTTACTTTACTTTTTTTTTCGATAAAACTTCAGCTTGACAATTGACGTAATTCGCGCGTCAATCTGCAGCATTTGTATGCTCTATTGTGTGCTTTAATATCTCTTGAAACACTTTGACATGTACCTGATAATAGCTAGAATTGTACTTATTGTTGTGAGATGAACTTGTTGTCGATAAATCTGCAAGATTTTATGCTCTACTAACTAATGAATCAGTCAATTTCACTCACGTCTGTCTATTACTTGTATCAACTCAAGATATAATTAGCTGAACGTAAACAGAAACGCAAAATTCTACAATTGAATCGAGCTATATAAATGCATTCGCATATTATTTTATTATAAGAAAAAACCTGAGAATTAATATGAACATCAGTTGATCCATTAAATATATTTATAAACAAAACAATATAGATTTACATATATACATTGAGTACTATATCCCCATTTAATGTACCTCGTGTTCGGTTGAAAGACCGCAGATACGCAAAAGCGAATCGCTGTTTGGCATAGTTAATCTGAGCTACGGCCTAGACCATAAAGTAGCCAATCAATGTCATCGAATGTCGACTCAACTGCTGGTAATTAGCATGCGCCACGTTGTGCTCACAGCACCGAATAATACCGATACCGCTAACATTATAGTTATCTATTCGCCAATTTAGCTTCCATTGAGCGGGTGGCTAAAATCAGGGGAACTTGAACTTGAATTTACATGTGACTCGCTGTGTTCACGTAATGACAAAATTAAGGAACTGAATATAGTTGGCCAACTTTGGCTATGGTCAAGATCAAACAGCAAAATGTTTTGCATATCAAGAGTGACAATGTTTTGGTTGAATTAGGGTACGCGAATAGCAAATACCCTGGAAGTAATTACAAAGTAATTTATAGTAATAAATAGTAATAAATAAATATAAATGGTAAATTTTCCTATCTAGCTTATATATAACACATAAAAATGTCCCAGGAATTCCTGGGAATCTATTATAAATTTTTTCTTTATATATTGTACGGTTAAGCAGATATTAGATATTCTCTTTTATATCATAAAAATAACAATAAAAAAAAATATTCTAAGAAAAATTAAGGACTATTGTAACTTTTATTGAATAGAGTATACCCTTTTATATGCATGCTTCTTCAACTTCTGTTGATGCCAAAATCATACATGATGCATACCCAATTTTAAAAACAAATTTATTTACCCTATATATAGCAAGCTGTTCTCCTACTTTGAGAGCTTTTTTAAGCAAGCTACCCAAGCTGAACAGTCACTCTAAATATAGAGTATATAAACAATAACAATTATTATAATAATTTATAAAGCTGCTCCTAAATGTTATCATAATCACATTTTACTTTACAGTGCCAAATATAAGCATACATAAATGCAGGGTATATGATTTGTTTGTCTACCTGAACTGCATTTCTAAACTAATCCAGGGTATAAAGGAACAATGTGAAACAGTTCCACTTCCTCATAAACTGGCAATTTCACTTTAAGCTATCCATTCAAAGCGACCCCTCTAATTACAGGGTATTTGAAACAAAACGATGAGCTGCTTTTGGCTGGCAGCACAGAGCAATGCGGGCCACACGTCGTAAAATAAATAAATGAAATGCATTGCATTGCAACTGCTAATTTCGTTGTTGTAGAAAATATGTCAATAGTATAATTGCGACCGGGATTACCTATATACATATATACACAGATTGATATATGTATATAACTATCTAACTACATGAACATGAACGGGCGGGCATTTCGCATTGCAGTTGCATTACAAACAGCAATTATTTTCGCCCCTAAACATTGCAAACAGTCTAAATAAAAGGAATCTAAACACAAATCGTACATATCATTAATACGTTATGTGCCCCCAACTTGTACAGCTACAGATGCAGCTAGAGATACAGTTACAGCTGCAGACACACAGACACACAGCGTGGCGTGGCTGGCCGCCTCATCATTTGCTTACAAACATTTCGTTCATATAACTATTAGAATTTATTTAATTGGTTTACGATTTATGATTATTTTCATATTTGAATGATATGCGCTTTTTTTTCAGACTTCATAAATCATGAATTTACAGCCGGAACTTCAAGCACACACACTGTCAACAACTGTTTTTACACAAAACTTTTACAGCTTTACATTTTTGGACTTGAAAGTGATTTGTGGTGAAAGATTTGAATCAGTAAATTTTCATTGATTGGTTGAGAATGAGTTAAGTTGACTGCTTCAATGTGTTGTAAATAGACAGAGGCCTCGACCGTTTCATGTATATGTCAATTATTGCTTTCATCTTACTACCCGGCATTTCTTTAGGCATCTCTTAGAAAACTTAGGGCTATATTATATTAAGTCTAGTTGTATAGATATACTTTCAAAGATAGATAGATACTTTCGTATAGATTCTACTTTCTTTCAAATAATCAAGCACTGTTTTCATTACTCTAAAAAATATTAGTATCAATATATCCTATATCCCATACCTTATGAAATTTATTTGGTATATTAACTCTATTAAAAGTTTATATATTTTATATTCAAAAAATTCAGTTCTCTAGCTGCAAAAACATCCAGACGAATTAACAAAATCAATACACTCCATTAATATAAAATTCAGATTAAATATGTATAGCAGATGTCACGATTGTTATAAATCTAGATTTATGAGCCCAGCTTCAAAGCAGAATTTTTGTTTGAGCCGCAAGTTTAATTTAGAATTTATATTTGCATTTTCAGTATAAAACGAATTCTGAGAAGATGCACGACTACAATATATAAATAATTGATATATACATAGTATATATATATGTATAACAATTAAACTTGATAACTTAGAAATACCAAAATACAAAATTATATATAAATATTAATTGCAAATGTATGAAATTCATTTGAATTGCATGCAAATACTCGACTGTGCATCATTGTCAACCTTTTGATGGGCTCAAATGACATGGAAATGCAGTTTAAATTTACCGAAAACCAATTAGCACCTGCGCTCAGGCAATCACATTTAATTATTGTGTGTGTGTGTTTTTTTTTTTTAACAAATTCCAGTAACACAAAAAATATATATATTACGATAAAAAAAAAAAGTAGATACAAAATCAACCAGCTGACATAACAATGCGAATTCCATTGGCTCAGCGAGGCATGAACTAGAGCCGGCTAAGAATTTCCGATTAGTACAGAGCCAACAACTAGTAGTAACTGTACTAACTGCTGCTGTCCATTCTAAGCGTTGCCATTCTAAACGGGAAAAGAGAGAGTGAAAGTCAGGTGAAGTGAGCTAAGTGCTCGAAATGCCAGGAATGCGCGTTCAATTGTTACGGATTCAAGAGTAATGACAAAATGTTTTTCTTTTTACTTTTTTTTTTCTTTTCGAGCGGGAGCTGCCAAAACAAGTTTGAGATTTTATTTATGTGTTGCTCTTACTGCGCGTTAGCTTGTTTTGACTTGGGAGTCATGTCAAAGCCATTAGAGAGAGAGAAAGAGAGAGAGAGAGAGAGAGAGAGCAACAGCATTGTCCAAAAATCATGAATGGACATCGTGGCCAGACGTAAAGTGGCCATAATCTTTGGCTTGATATACTGTCTGATCGACGATATCAGATATTGGGCCAGGGTCAGGCCGCCCAGTGTCCCTGCGCGTCATTTTATTTCGTTACCTAATCTAAAGAAGATTCTGATAAGATTTGATACGATTCGAAACATTGCTCCGCTGTCCACGGGCCAGAAGTGTGCTGGGAGTTTTTTTATTTGTTCCCCATTTGACGCTGCTCAAGTGCCGCTCACATTGACTGAGACCGACCGCGACTGAGACGTTGACTGCGCAGCGCGACAGCGACGCTTACAGCGCAACGCCGCGACGCCGCAGACCGTACGCCGGGAACGTGCTCGAGTGGGCCGAGCGTAAAGAAAGCGCCGACAGCGCGAATGCCATTGCCACATATATAAATGGAGTTGGCAGCGTCGGCTCAGCGTTCAGTCGATCTGTAAACAGCAAACGCGACGCGTCCTAGCCAACCCACAGCGCATTGCAGCGGATCTATCAGCGAACACGATCGATCCATTCATTGGCTAGAAATAATCAATTTGTGTTTCCCATTTGACTGCAGTTAAAATGCAAAGAAACGAATTAGGCACGATCGATACTCGGCCAATTGTGCGGCACTAAAAGCGAGCGGAGCGGCAATTGCTACGCCACATTAAACAGATTCTAAAAAAAAAAAAATAAATAAATAAAATAAAATAATATATATATATATATAAATACAAATATCAGTACATAACATAAATAATTCATTTGCGCGGGCAACGGTCATCAAAAGTGCTAAAAATAATTTGAAGAATATAAAAAAGGTGCAAAATATAACTAAAATATATATAAAATATTTCTTCTATAACATATAAATAATATATAACGAAAATGAAGTTCATTTGCTGTGGCAGTAAGGGCGCCATGTCGGTCAACGAGAATGCCGCTAATATTGAGAACAAAAAGGAAGCGGAAGCCGAGGGTAGCACAAGTAAGTGGAAAATGGAAATGGAATTAAGATATAAGGATGCATGCAGAAGAGGTTTAATAAAGTTGTTAAATATACTAAAGGAAGAATAAAAATATAAGTGAAGGAGAACAGATGAAAGTTGTTTCTTTTATAAGGAATAATACTTTAATAAAGTTGACAGATAATAGGACAAAAAGTAATATAAATAATATTTCTAAAAATTATTTTGAGATTTTATAACCATTTTTTATAGCAAAAAAAAAAAAAAAAAAAAAAAAATATATATATATATATATATATATTACCATAATAGATAATTAGATATGAAAAGGTGTTTAATTGTTTAATTGTAGAATGTAGAACAAGCATCTAGGTGAAAGTATATATAAATCATGTAGAGAAATGAAAAGAGTTTTAAAGTTCGTACATCACGAAAATATTTTAACAAATGAATGTAGAACAAAGCCCTTAAGCTATATATCAATTTTATATGGTTATATTAAAAACTTTAAGACGGTAACAAAATAAAAATGATATGGTACATTTAAATGCCAAATATTTTGCAAAAATATTTGTATATGTATTATATTTATATATGCACGTCTTTATATAAATAATGCTAAAAACCTGTTTAAAAATGGGTTGCTAAACTTATAAATGATTTTTATGAAGCGGGGGTTTTGGTCGAACTATAAATAAAATAAAAAAGAGCTAATCTACCTTATAAGAAATAATTTGAAGTAAACCTGTTTTTTTTTTTTTTTTTTTTTTTTTTTAACCCTATTTTGATCTATCGACGTTTGAATGACATGCAAATATTTTTCTGGAGAAATATTTTGTTTATTGTTGTTTACTATTGTTGTTGGTTCACTTAAAGTTTTCATGCTCAAGTGAAGTGAAATTTAGTTGTTGTTTCTTGAAGCTCTCTTGTTAAATGCAGAGTGAAATTGTTTACAATTTGATCACAAGCGGCAGCTCAAAGCAAAACGTGACTTGGCTTGGATGATATATAAAAATAAATGTGATTATGGATATTATTGATTAGTTGCTGCTAATTATTTAATATACTTGGCATGGGCTTAAATAAAGCTACGCTCGATACACAAGTTGGCCTGGATATCATATCGCCCTAGACAGGAAACTGATAGCAAACAGTAAACGATTAAATAGCTACAGCTACAACAACTGCAAACATTTGCTCGTCAGAAGTTTGTATGCAAATTTGTCGAGCAATTGGAGCTTGTCTAGGCTGTCTAGCCGCTGCTGAACAATGAGCAGGCAAACAAACGATCGACCGACAAGCGTCTGTCAAGAGTCTCAAGAGACAGAGGCGCTCTCTCTCTCTCTCACACACCGTCTCTCTCTCGCTCTCTTTTGCTGTCACTCTAGTTACCCGTTTGGTATAGATCAACTTTAATGAGCGATAGATTTTGAGCTAGCTAACTGCCAACTAGAGTAACTTTCTTTGAACAATTAGCTACGTATATGGCTAAAACATAAATCTCGCATATATTTCACACACACACACACACACACACACACACACACAGATATTTAATGTTCCTGGTTTGACTAAAGTGGGTTGCAAATATAACAGCTGCCAGCGGAGTAATAAACAATTAAAAAAGGGATCGACTGCTAATTACAGGAAGGCGCTGAGTACTTCTCTTACAGAGTTCATATGTAAAATGTAAAAAAAAAAAAAAAATATTTATATATATATTTTTAATTGTATATATAAATTCATTTGCATTTTGTTTATTTTTGTTAACACTTGACATGCCTTCCGTACGCACATAAATTATATATATTAAAAGCGATGCCAAGTTTTGATTCTGTAATCGTAATATACTTTACAAAATCAAATGGAAAATCTTACGAATTGCAAATTATTCAGCGCTGGCAAGGTAAGCGCCAGGCGCCAGGCGCCAACACAAGGCGTTAGGTTTATGTTTATGTTGACACCAGCACAGCAGGTGAACACGCACACACACACGCACACTTGACACACAATCGAGTGACAAGTTCAAAGTTGTCTGGGCGACAAAATGAGATACAGATAAAGCAGCAGATAAAGCTGGATATAAATCAACATAGACATAATGACAGATATAAAGATAGATAAAGATACAGTTAAAGATGCAGCTATAGCAGAGATACAACTACAACAACATGTACATATATACATTCATAACTTTCCATGCCGCTGTTAACTAAAACACGCTTTGCGGTTTGGCCCGAAAACAGAAAATAGAAAACCCCAAAAAACCGTCTGAGCATGCGCAAAGTGCATGATAGACCCTTGCTGGGTGACATCGTGTTATTTTCATTTAATGATTGCTATTTGGACAGCCAACATGATCTATAATTCAGATTTGCCACCTCATATCCGACAAGCGGACCTGCTGGCCTTATCTGCTTCGTCATTATCAATTAGCTCGATCTGATGGACATTTCAAAGTCGTTGTAAGACAATAACAAAGGCACAGAACAAAAGCTGCATTAACTCCAAAGTGCTTCAGGCTTATCAACGTCACTTGAGCGTACGATCCATGGCGCGTATACGCAATATTTGCACTAGCCAGCTATCAGCTATCAGTAATGCGAATCGATACGTAACGACTTAAAGCCCTTGATAGGAAAGCAAAAGGTACTCGAGCTCGGGACGATGCATAAACCATTTTAATGCGATATTCACACGAAAGCGTGCCACGCTCTTCAGCTGTGTGAGAAAAATAAATAAACCCAACTAAATAATTGATATTAGATTTGCAATTCATTTAATTGCGAGCAGTCAACTTTAACGGCAGCTCAGCTCAGCTAATACATAATGCAAAAAACTTAAAGCTTAGTCAATGCGGAAAGCTCTTTGGTTGGTTCAGCATAGCGATGCAATACTGCAGTCAACAATAACAGCACAGCTTTTGGCTGCTTACAAGTTGCAAAAGCTTTGCTTGAAAGCTTTAGCAAAGGCATTGCCAGCTGAAAATAACTGACGGCAGCTAACGGATATTTTTTTAAATGCTGATCTGAATTTCTTTGAATGAACTCAATCTTAAATCTTAATATATTTAATACTACAAATATTTTTAAATATTAATACTGTAAATTTAAAAGATTACTTTTGTAAATATTTTATATATATATTTAATATATTTAAATTTTGTATATATTTTTATATATATTTTAATTTAGCTTTCAAGCTGAAAATTTTATAGCTATATTTTAGTAGAAATGTATGAAAATATGCAATAATAATTATTAGTTTATTAGCAGCATTGATTGATCATGATTGATTGGGTACTAAGAGATTAACCAGATAAGCTATATTATGCTATGTATACATTTTATAGCTAAATTTGATTGATTATCTTATTAATAAACAGTCCATATTGAGCATCACAGATCAACTAGATATGCCCAATAGTCGAGAACTATATGATTGAAAACACTTGATTCCTGATGGATTGTTATTAAGTGCACTCAAAGAGCGGTAGATAGACAGTCGATGTAGGCCTAGCTACAGGCTAAAGTTCTAGAGCTATAAAAATGAAATTTACGAGCGCACATGTAGATAGACAGAGTCTATATTAGATTACACACTCATCTCGTTAAACAACAGAGCGTTCGCATGGTGTTGGAAAATATTGAAATTTGTTGTTTGCACAGATGAGATGCGCTTGAAGACATCAATAGGTTAGTTATTGAACAGGCTCCGAGGTGTGCGGTCAGAGCAGTTTTCACCTAGCATCAAATTTCTAAATAAGGAAGCAACTGAATTCAAAACAAATATCAATACTGATTAAGTTACCTAATCAACAAGTTTTCACTTTCAATTTTTATCAAGATGGTTAAGAATCGTCGCTTTGAAGAAGACGCAGGTACATGATGAAGAAGAGCTGACGACGCTGCAATTTAATTCAATTCAATTGTTTGTGGAAATAGTTCAATTTAACAAATATTTAAACAGCTCTCCAAGTTGGGGCTGCGTTCATATATATCAATTCTGTTACGCTACAATGGAGCTCGAGTTGATTTAGAAAATATTTAAAGGCAAATCTAACTGGTTCTGTAAAGCATTGTGATCTTGATCTGTTGAGATTAATATTTGTTAAAAAAAATCAACTTATTTGATGTGAAGAAATTCTGATATAACTGTAAGAGTTGGAGCTTTAACTGAAGAGGATGTGAATCACATAAATGTGTTCTAATCTCTCTAAACTTGTAATCTCTATGATAAGCAAATTCACCTGTTAGACGAGCCCCTCTTGGCTTATAGCAAAGTCATAGGCAGTTGGAAAAAAGTAGCACAAAGCGGTTATATCTATCAGAGACGGTGGCTAGTCTTAAATGAACTTAGTTGAGCAGCTGCAGGTGGCGTGGGGTGTGGGATGTGGGGTGTGGGGTGTGGAGCGTGGCTGTGACGACAGAAGAGGCGCCAGCTAAAGCGCCTCGATAAACAATCTCTGTGTGAATGGAATATTTTCTCATATTTTTCCAAATTAACACAGGTAGAGTCGGGCAATCTGATTCCTCAGTTTGCCGTGCAGATAAGCTACATCGTAAATCTGCTTGTGATATGCGTGATGGCAGGAGTGGAGAATTTAATATACGATTATGTATGGGCAGCCACGTGCCAATGTGTGGTTAGGCTAAGACTTGTTTTTGGCGTAATTCCAGTGCTCTCAAGTGCTACGCAAAAGAACAGCAGCAGGCTAATGACCTACAGGCGACCTACAGCCAATATGGCTGATAGCAGAGCATATATTGAAGGCGTCAATCATTCATTGATTAACGCTGAGTGTATGTAAATACATTTGTATATAGCACATACACACACACACACGCACACACACACACACACACACACAAGCATACACGCTTATGGCATTATACTGTGACTCAAGTTGAAGTTCAATATTCCGTTTGATAATTGTCTTGAATCACGTCTAATCGCAATCTATTTTCAGCTTATGGTCTGGGTGTCCGGCACTGGCAAACATTCCTGTTTTTCTTCGCACTGACGGTGGCCTATGCCCAGCGCGTCAATCTGTCTGTGGCCCTGGTGGCCATGACAGATGCCGCTGCCGCCAATCCCGCTTTTCCGGTACGTGGACTCTATATGTCTATATGAATCATATGATTTATATCAATTTGTTTCACTCCCTTGCAGGAGTACGCATGGTCAGAGAAGACTAAATCATTGATCTTGAGCAGCTTCTTTTGGGGCTATGTGCTGACCCAAGTGCCCTCCGGTCAGCTGGCTCGCAAATTTGGCGGCAAGATCACATTGCTGGTGGGTCTGTCCATCTGCTCCGTGCTCAATGTGCTTACGCCCATCTTTGCCCGGTGGGGCGACTGGCAATTGGTTTGCGCGTTGCGTGTCGTTGAGGGCTTGTGCCAGGGCGTTGTCTTTCCATCGGTGCACACGCTCATCTCCGCCTGGGTGCCGCCCAATGAGCGACCTGTCCTGGGCACCTGCGCCTATGCGGGCAACCAGTTTGGCACGATCGTCATGATGGCCACGAGTGGCCTGCTCGCCTCCTCCTCCGCTGGCTGGCCGAGCATCTTTTACGTTTCCGGCGGCGTCGGCTGCCTTTGGGCCATTCTATTCTTCATCTGGGGCGCCAGCTCACCGGCGCACTACAAGAAGATCTCCGTGGAGGAGCGCAAGATGATTGAGCTGGCGCAGGCGAGCGAATCCGTATCGGAGCAGCCCAAAGAGAAGCTGCACACGCCCTGGCTCAGTTTCTTCACGTCGCCGGCCTTCCTGGCGCTGATCGTGGCGCACAGCGCCAACAACTGGGGCTTCTGGACGCTGCTCACCGAAATTCCCAGCTACATGAAGAATGTCCTCGGCAAGGACATCAAATCGAATGCGTTGCTCTCGGCCCTGCCCTACTTCGCCATGTTCTGCATGTCGTTTGTCTTCTCGGCCATTGCCATGCAGCTGAACAAGCGCAACTGCATCTCGACCGAGGTCAGCCGGAAGCTCTTCAACTCGATTGGCATGTGGGTGTCGATGTGCTCGCTCATCGGCCTGGCCTATGTCACCGCCGATCAGAGCACTATGGCCGTCGCTCTGCTAACCGTGACTGTCGGCTTCAATGGCGCCTGCTATCTGGGCTTCCAGATCAATCACATCGATCTTTCGCCCAATTTCGCGGGCATTCTGATGGGCATCACCAACTGTGTGAGCAACATCATGAGCATCATAGCACCTCTACTTGTCGGCTTCATTGTGACCAATGAGGTAGGTTGAAAGAAAGAGAGCAGGAGAGAGAGAGAGAGAGGGGGAAGGCAGATGGTGGACATTATATTAATTGATTTTCTTTCTGCAGCACGATGTGGAGCAGTGGCGCATTGTCTTCTTCATTGCAGCGGCCATTTATCTGGTGGGCAATGGTTTGTTCGTCATCTTTGGACGCGCGAGTGTGCAGCCCTGGAACGATCCTCCAGCCAAGCCACGTCGCAACTCTACGCCCCAGGTGGAGTCTCAGCACTAGAGACTCATAGAGAGTGAAAGCGAGCGAACATGAGAGAGAGAGAGAGGGAGAGAGAGAGAGAGAGAGAGAGAGTCTAGCTAGTCATCTAGTTAACATTTCCAACCCACTAACTGCTTCGATCCGCTGTGTTCGACTGAAGCTCATCAATTTAAATGTAATTCGAGTTTTGATGTATTCTAGCATCATTTGCTATTTGTATATCTATATATACATATACATATATATGTATAGATATATAGCTACTATTTGAATTTGTCGTCTTAAGTTTAGTGCGTAGTCTATAACTAAGTTCCCGTTGCATATGTATATAAAGACCAAATAACGAAACAGAAAACAAATACAATAATAAAATGTTAAGAAACCAAATGAATGTGTCTTAAATGGATTATTTATATTTAAGATTATATGATGATTCCACATTAAAGGAATTAAGGAATTAAAGGATTAAAGGAAAATTATTTGTTGGGGATTTTGAATAAAGATATTTTGAATGAATTTTTTAAAATTTTTATTCTATTTTATTTCAATTTTTTTGATAAAGACTTTAAATAAATATATTTTGAATGAACTTTTTATTTTTATTCTATTTTATTTTAATTTCTTAATGCACAGTGTATCAAGAATTACTAAAATGTATTTCAAGTCAAAACTTGCCTTAGTCTATAAAGCGTTCGATTCCCATGTCGTTATCTTGGCCAGCTTTCTTCCCTCTTTGAGTTGTATTTCCCTACAGCAATAGACCCGCGTGTACCTTCTAATAAGTCTAGCACCTTTTTTTGCTATCTAATCAGAAGTCAAGTTTACACATATCAATCAAACGAGGCGTCAGCAGCAAAGCGACGCTGACAGTTTTGGGCGACGAGGGGTTAATCCAAATTTATGAGCCCAAAACACTTGGCTCAAGATGCTGGGCAATATTGTGCATCATCTAGTTGGTTAAGAGTTTTCAGAGCGAAAGGAACGTAAGGCTCGAATATCATGTCAGGGAATATTAAGATGCCTAAAAATCGCCGCTTTGAAGCTGAAGGTACGTTGTCCAATATTCGAGTTCAGCTGAGCATAGATTATATGTGAAGAATCGAAATCAATTTTGGCTTGAACTTTATGTAAGAGAGCTCAAAGATACTACCTTACTCCATGCCTTTGAAGGTGATTTGAATGTCATTGGCCTTTAACTTGAAAAGTCGTTAGTTTCTGCATAAATCAGCTAAGCTTTACCTCATGTTTAATATAAATATTTGCTGTAATATATTTAATTTTATCAACCTCATGGCGTCAGCTCTCTAGATCGACTCATTTCCAGTTAAATATATATAGCTAAGCAATCTGCTTATCTAACACGTAAGAGATAGTAATGTACTTAGTCTTCATAAAGATAATCCGCACGCGTCTATTGCGTAGGGAGGCTCGTCCATGCTGAGAGTTTTCAGTGGAATGCGAGCATAGAGTCTATGTCTATCAACTCTATATGTCTCTTCCCTATAGAGTTCACTAGAGTTACAGTAGAAAGCGAGCATAGAGTCTATCGATGCATATATCTGCTCTATTTATATATCTACTTTATAGAGTCTACTAGAGTATATATATATATAAATATTATACATACTCCACATATCTCTACTCTATTTATCTCCCCAACTATTTAATTTCCAGACTCAGCTCTAGGCGAGCGTCACATGCAAATATTTCTGCTCTTCTGTGGTCTCATGGTTGGCTTTGCCATGCGTGTCAATCTCTCCGTGGCAATTGTGGCCATGACCGAGCTGCCTGTAAGAAATTTCCCTAGCTCCCAAGCGCAACTCGATTCCATTTATTGTCCTCACTTTCTTTAGGATTATCATTGGACCGAGCGCACAAAGTCTCTGGTCTTGAGCAGCTTCTTTTGGGGCTATGTGCTGACCCAGGTGCCAGCTGGCGTCTTGGCCCGTAAATTCGGGGCCAAGGCAACGATTGTGACGGGTTTGTCCATCTGCTCCGTGCTGAATGTGTTCACGCCCATCTGTGCGAGGCTGGGCGGTTGGCAGCTGCTCTGCGGCGTGCGTCTGCTCGAGGGCGTCTGTCAGGGGGTGCTGTATCCGTCTTACCATACGCTGATCTCGGCCTGGGTGCAGCCCAGTGAGCGCGCCTCGCTGGGCACCTATGCCTACATGGGCGCGCAATTCGGAACCATTCTCATGTTGGCCACCAGCGGCATATTGGCCTCCCTGGCTGGTTGGGCGAGCATCTTCTATATATCCGGTGGCTTTGGCTGCCTTTGGGTGGCTGCCTATTGGCTGCGTGGCTCCAGCTCGCCGGCGCAGTCGAAATATATCTCCGAGGAGGAACATCAGTTGATTCAGCTAGCGCAGGCCAGGGAAGTGGAGACCAAATTGGAGCAGCCCAAGGAGAGTTTATCCCCGCCCTGGATGAGTTTCTTTACGTCGCCAGCCTTTCTGTCGCTCACGGCCACACATTGCGCCTCCACTTGGGGCTTTTGGACGCTGTTGACACAGATTCCCAACTACATGAAGAATGTCCTGGGCAAGGACATCAAGTCGAATGCGCTGCTCTCCTCGCTGCCCTACACTGTGATGCTGCTGCTCAGCTGGTTCTTTGTGTGGCTCTCCAAGTTACTGCAGAAGAGTTCCATTTCCCTCAGCTGCAGTCGCAAGTTCTTCAATTCCATTGGACAATTTGTGCCGATGTGCCTGCTGGTTGCATTGGGCTATGTGCAACAGGAGCAGGACACACTGGCCGTCATCCTGCTCTGCCTGACCGTGGGCCTCAACTCTGGCTGCCAGCTGGGCTTTGTCATTAATCACATCGATCTCTCTCCCAATTTCGCCGGCGTTCTGATGGGCATCAGCAATGGCATTGCGAATATCATGAGCATAGCGGGTCCACTTTTAGTTGGTGTTGTTGTTACCAATGAGGTGGGTTGTCCTTTGTGTGTGTATATATATTTATATAACTGTCTCTCTCTCTCTCTCTCTTCGCTCTCTTCCCTGTCGTTGCAACAACAGCAAGATGCCAGTCAATGGCGCATTGTTTTCTTTGTCACAGCTGCCTTCTATTTGGTTGGCAATGGGCTCTTCCTGATCTTTGGCAGCGCCTCGATTCAGCCATGGAATGACCCAACAGCTAAGAAGCAGCGCTGCTCTATGCCCCAAGTGGAGGCACAGCGAGGGACAGCAGATAGTTAGGCTTAAGCTTAAGTAGTTTGATAAGTGCGCGTTATTCACTATAATTATTAAGCTCTTCAGATGTGGTATATCTATCAAATGTAACGGTATATCATCTATTTAAATGATTTACTACAATAAAAAAAAATCAAATTTGATAATGAACCTATGTTTTATACACTTCACATCCACTGATAAGAACAGCCACCCCTCACTCATGTCTAGAATGATTAGAATCAGAAATCACTGGGCAAAATACAGGTCTCTGTCAGTCTATCACTCCCGCTTAGACTGGCAGGAAGTCCGATTGCTTGATAATAAACATTCACTGCATAAGCTAGCAATGTCAAGGTGCTAACTAAATAGTTCCAGTTACCCAAACAGTAACTAAATAATTCCAGTTACTCACTCGGGAAGTGGGCTTTACTAATTGTAGATATTGTCAATCAATTCTGTGCAATCGGTATTCCCTCTTTCCATAAATCAGCATAGTTACCTAATGTCATAAGTCTTTGATATTGAGCACGCTTACGCCTGCTGTTCGTTTGCTTCATTCACTAGCCCATTTATTGGGCAAATACTTTAATACCTTGTCTGCCCGCGCGTTTACTCACAGCTCATTATCTTATCAGATCGTAAATATATATTTGCATAAAAACCAGCGGCATCCTCTGTAATCTGTCTCAGCCTGAGCTACTGTGAATCTGAATCTCTTTAAAGATACACAGCAGAGCCATGAATAGACTTAGTTTACATAGAAGTTTTGTGCTGTGCGGTGATGCTCTACAGAGGATACACCCTAAAACAAAATGGCGAACAGCAACGGCATAGCAAAGAATCGTCGCTTCGAAGATGAAGGTATTTCATTATTAACTGGATATCTTTAATTAAAACAATAAATAAATAAAGTAATTCATTAAATATGCGAAAGACTTTCGGTAAAAAAAATAAAACAAAAAACTATTTTGAGAAACCATTTGGAGTACGTAAAGTCCTTTAAAATATCCTTTGATTCAAGATGTTTAGCTCTTTTGACGCATTGGTTATGTCATTTAGCAAAAGTTCAGTCAAGTTCTATTTCACAAAGGGTAATTCACTTTTAATTTATAGCCCTTATCAAGGCAGATAACTTTCCTTAGCGCGTAATCTGTCATAAGACTCAATTCTACCAAAAAAAAAATTCCATTGCAACTTTGCTGACTAATTAAATAAGTTAATAAAATTATTTGCCCGGAAAAAATAAAAAAAAAATTTTTTTTAAATATTAAAAAATATAAATAAATAAACAAAATACTTTCGACAAAATTTTGGAAAAAAACATTATATTAGTATAATGGTTTCTAAGAACTGAAATTGATTTCTGCAGAAATATATTATTATTTATAATAATATTATTATATATTATTTTTAAGCAAATTTTTATATTCCCATTCGGTAACTCAAATTGGTTTTCCGGTCTAGATTCGGGATTTGGCATGCGGCACTTGCAGATGCTGTTGATCTTCTGTGGCCTAACAGTTGGATTTGCGATGCGCGTCAATCTTTCGGTGGCTGTTGTGGCCATGACCAATGCCACGACAGTAAACCCGGATTTTCCGGTATGCAATTTTCTCAACTAAAGTGAATTTGTAATCAATTTTGAATTCCCTTTCAGGAATATCCCCTGTCGGAGAAGACAAAGTCCTGGGTGCTGAGCAGCTTCTTTTGGGGCTATGTGATGACCCAGGTGCCCGCTGGAGCCTTGGCGCGTCGCTTTGGCGGCAAGGTCACCCTGTTGACGGGGGTTTCCATCTGCTCCCTCATGAATCTACTGACGCCACTCTGCGCCCGCCTAGGCGGTTGGTCCTTGCTTTGTGGCCTGCGCTTCATTGAAGGCCTGTGTCAGGGTGTTTTCTTTCCCTCATGCCATACGATTATCGCCCATTGGTTGCCGCCAAGGGAGCGAGGCTCTATGACCACATATGCCTATACCGGAAGTCAATTCGGTACGATTCTCATGCTGGTCACAAGTGGACTACTCGCATCCTCAGCTGGTGGCTGGCCGAGCATCTTCTATGCGTCGGGCGGCTGTGGCATCGTTTGGGTGTTCGTTTATTACATTTGGGGTGCCAGTACGCCAAAGGACTCCAAGAATATTACAGCTGAGGAGGTCCAGTTGATTGAAATGCAGCTGGCCAAAGAGCGGACGGTCAATGCGGAGCTGCC